TAACCAGGAAAAGTAATGTAATCATCAGCTCTAGATAAATAAACTAAGAAGATGTGTTGCCCAGGATCATGGCAGCTAAAGAAGTTGCAGAATCAGGACTTGCACCCAGTTGATCCCCTTAGTTCGTACCCTCTGGCCTTTGCACCAAGCTCTGGTATATTCTTACCTGCTTTCTTCCATATAGTCACTGTGTCTCTGATAATTTCAGTTGTAACCAATCACCATAATAAATGAGTCAGTTGGACCCAACCACCTGCCACACTGGTGCTATAAATTAGATAAAGTGTATGCCTAATTCGATTACCTTTATTCCTAGAGCACTGTTTATCAGTCATCTTGGTTTTGAGCCATGAATTTCCTGAGAGGTCATTTTGTATTTTCTGATAGATAATAGATTATCTAAGTTATAAATTGTAGATAACGGTTATTTTTATTAGCCCGTTTATATGTCTCAATCAACTTCTCTCAAAGTGCAGCTTTTCACTTTGTTTTACAATTAGGATAATAAGTGTCAGTTAATCTCTTTCTAAATGCCAAGCAAGTAATCACGTGAACTGCACTTCTCTGGTGAGACCTCTGTGGACCAACCCTGTGTGCTGTTCCTTTATGACTGGGCATCTAGATATTTCTTTGAAGGAGCCCTTCATTTTGGACTGCCAAATAAGTCAGAATTAGTACTACCAAGGACTTCAGTGCTTCAGTTTCACTGAACTAACTACATTGATGTTTTAAAAATAGCTCTCTGTTTCATTTATTTTTAAGTAACTGCTATAGGATTGGTAATCCGATTGATAGTATTCTTACAGTGTTCCATAAATCTGTCTAGCTTGGCATTTAACAAACGATGCTAAAATGAACATTACTCATGTCTCAAATTCCTGTCCTCAAGAAGAGGGAGCCTTGTCTGATTGTTCTTGATATCCCAGGGTCTTAGAACACAAGGTCTGTGCAAAACATAAACTAGGCTTTGAGTGTTTGTTGGATCAGACTTTCAACTGCCCTTTCTCTTTGCATCCATACAAACTTCCACTGACATGTCAAGATCAAAGGTTTTTTTCATCATATGAGAATAACTAGTTTTCAGTTCAGCCTTTTGATGAACAGATAACATTGAGGTCTCAGATGCTGTTTGTATTCCAAGTGCCCACAGTAGATGAACTAACCATGGCGCCATGCAAGGCGTGGCACTGTTGCCGGATAAAGTGAGGCACAGTGAGTACTCAAAGTACGCTTCAAAAGTGATTTCCATAAAGAAAGTTAACATGTTTGCCTTTTCAGGTTCTTTTTCTCCTGGGTCTTCCCATTTTAATAAAAAGCCCTCAAAGCATCACCTTGATTTTGACTATTTTATTTTGGCTCAGAAATGAACTTTTTCAGCTGTGCTGCATTACCAGAAATGAGAGTCTCCAAATGATGACTGGAGCTCCTCAGGAGTGGAAGTATAATTACCATATTAGCATCATAAATCATTTGCTTCTCAGTACTGTATTAGGTCATGAGAGCAACAGCTGTGTCTTTGTTCTACCTAGATGATATTTCAATAAAGCCATTTCTGTTTTTATGCGCTCAGATTCACAGTTTCTCCTTTGTATTGACATCAACCAGTGAACCTATTAGTTTCCATTATCAGCACATTACCAAGAACTATAAATAGCTCTGTATTTTCTCTCAAAATCCTCTTAAGCTGTAGAGATACCTTTAATTTGATAGACTATCGTGGTAATACACCTTCTGTCTTTAGGCAAAACAGACACTTTCTTTTTTTTTTTTTTTTTTTTTGAGACAGAGCCTCAAGCTGTCCCCCTGGGCAGAGTGCCGTGGCATCACGCTCACAGCAACCTCCAACTCCTGGGCTCAAGCGAGTCTCCTGCCTCCGCCTCCCAAGTAGCTGGGACCACAGGCGCCCGCCACAACGCCCGGCTATTTTTTGGTTGCAGCCATCATTGTTGTTTGGCGGGTCCGGGCTGGGGATTCGAACCCGCCACCTTAGGTGTACGTGGCTGGCGCCTTAGCCGGTTGAGCTATAGGCGCTGAGCCAACAGACACTTTCTTAAGCCTGTTTTTTCATTAAAAGAAAAAATGATCAACTATACCAGTTCAGTACTATCTGTTGACCTCAGATTTATCATAATAGATAAGTTGGGCATCAGATTTATTGTAATAGATAAATTGTGCATCTAATCATACAGGAATCTAGATAAGATGTCAGAGTAAAGCCACTCCGTCAGAATTTTAAGGCCCATGTAAAAAATGCAGTGTTGTGTTTCCCTGTTTGCTGATTCTGCCAAAAAACAATAGTCATAAATATCATAGCTATTCCTTCAATATCGACCTCAAGATCATAAAACATTTAGGTCTTTTCTTCCAGATGTAAACCTGTCTGCACAGCACCAACTTGGAACACACTTCTCATAGCCTGGGATATAAGCACATCTTAGCAGGTTTTAAAAATGGTCTGTGGGAATGTAATTATCTGGGACAATTACTGTTCTGATATGGGAATAACCTGGTTTATTCCGTTACAGCTCTCTTAAGTGTAATAGGCCCAGACCACAGTGACTGCTGTAGCCTCCCTGGTGTTCTCAGAGGCAGGCACCTTAATTCTGGTTTTCGTTGCAGCCCTGCAAGCCCTTTCTCACCTCATCTGTTTCCTCTTCCTGCTTTGGTTCATGAGTAGGAGTCCTCTGATGAACTCAGGGTTTCGGAAGGGTTAGAATCACTTGTTTGTGCTGTCATTTCTACTTTCCTTTTCAGGTCATAGGTTTATAAAGATGTGATTTAAGTAGACAAATAAAGATACCCCACCCCTGCCCCCAGTTTCTGTGCGAACCTCAAATCTGATCCAGATATTGGGAGATTTCTTAGTGACGTGCTTAACCTGTGTATTTGGTAATTATTGTCTAACTTGTTGGCTAACATTTTGGGTTTGTGAACAATCACTTATGTAGAGAGCTCTTATGAATCGCCCTAGCATTTGTTGAGATTCCTTCTTTTGGGCCACCATAAGGAATTTTGGGGTATTGATAGGGACCCAACCTTTCACAAAAGCTTTTAACAGATTTAAAAAAAAAAAAATTAGTATGCATTTCAAAAGTCACTGTTAATCTAGTAAAATCAAAACTAATTTCTTAGAATTTAATACTTATTCCACAAACCCTCCAGTTTTGAAAAATAAGTCCTTTACAGATACTTTATTCAGTGAGGATCCCGTTGAGGACCACAGGTTGCTAATAGTTTATGTCCCTTGAGGCTCTTTACATCTTTAACTAAGGTCTACCCTTTTCATGTCATGGACTTGTTGAAGAGACTAGATTTGTAGATAAATGAAACTATTTATTTAAATTTATTTAAACATTAAATTTTTAGGCGCAACTACAACTTGGACTCTACCTAATAGATGTAAACAATGTAACCTAACCATCATCATACCCTCATATTAATCTAAAAATAAATAAATCAATAAAACTGCCAAAGGAAACCCCCCCCCTTTTTTTTTTGAGACAGAGTTTCACTTTGTTGCACTCAGTAGAGTGCTATGGCATCACAGCTCACAGCAACCTCAAACTCCTGGGCTTAAGAGATTCTCTTGCCTCACCTTCCCAGTAGATGGGACTACAGGCACCCGCCACAAGGTGCAGCTATTTTTTGTTGCAGTTGTCATTGTTGTTTAGCTGGCCAGGCCAGGTTTGAACCCACCAGCCTCAGTGTATGTGGCTGGCTCCATAACCACTGTGCTACAGGTGCTGAGCCAAAACCCATTAAATTTGTATTTAAACTTAAGAATCTCATTGTATTTGTTTAATTAAAAACATTTTCCCACACAGCAAAAATTATATGCAAATTTTCCCTTTTTTTTTTTTGAGACAGTCTCACTGTGTCATTCTGGGTAGAGTGTTGTGGCATCATTGCTCACAGCAACCTCCAACTCTCGGGCTTAAGTGATTCTCTTGCCTCAGCCTCCCAAGTAGCTGGGACTATAGGCACTCACCACAGCGCCCGGCTATTCTTTGTTGCAGTTGTCTTCATTGTTGTTTAGCAGGCCCGAGCTGGGTTTGAACCCGCCAGCCTTGGTGTTTGTGGCTGGCACCGTAACCACTGTGCTATGGGTGCCGAGCCACAGGTTCCCATTTTTTAAAAACAATCCTCTATATCTCGTTTGTTTGAGCCAGGATCCAACCTAGAACCACATACTACAAATGATCATTTTATTCTCTCAGTGTGTTTTAGTTGTCTGGAACAATTCCCTTTATGTTTGTGAGTAACTTGTTGAAGAGACAGTTCTTAGTCCTTTACCTAATGAACCACTTTCTGGATTTGATTTTTTTTTATCCAGTATATAATAGTAGCCGCTAGTCACATATGACTATTAAACTTTTAAAACATATCTAGTCTGAACTGAGATGTACTGTGAGTTTAAAATATACACAAAAAAGTAAAATATTTCACTAATTTTTTTGTACTGATTATATGTTCAAGCAATAATTTGGGTATCATGGGTTAAATAAATTGATAATATAATTAATTTCGCCTGTTTCTTTTTTTAATGAAGCTACTAGGAAATTTTGTTCAGCTCCCATTATATTCTGTCAGATGCTACTGTTCTAACAGATTCTAAAGCAGAAAATTGCTACCTCCAAATGACTCTATATCAGTACCCTGAGATGTAATAGAAAAAAGAACATCAGTAGGCTAAAGTGTTCCTCAGCTTGACTTTGTAACATTTAGCTGCTGTGTAGAAGCTAAATGATTTTCCACGGTAGAGCTAGCCTAGAGAGAGAGAATTTTAAAGCCTAATATCTTACAAGCATGGCGTTGTCCAATCAGTGAAGCAGCTGCTGAAGATTTTGAGTACCCCTGATAGCTGAAAGTCGGATACATGTGCCACAAATGCTAAATGTCGTTGTTAAGGCAGCGCTGCCGATTTAAAAGCGGAAGAGTATCTGAGCCAATGAAAGTGCATGCTTTATTTATTTATTTATTCATTTCTTCATTGATTTTAGTGTTGGAAAACCTTGGACAGACCATTATCCCCAATTGTGGATCCCTGGAAAGTCAGCATGATTTTCAAATCCCGGAGTTTGTGAGTACCATTATTTTACCTTCAATTTGTACTGGTTAGCTAAGAGATTTTAGGGGAAAAGATTTTTTATGAATTCGTTTTTGCCAGTGTCTCTCCATCTGACATCCATCCCAGGGCGCTGACCGTGTGCTGCTCAAAGCTCTGGTGTCTTGGGGGGTTGCTGAGCCTTCCCATCCCAGCCTCATGCTCCGTAGGCTTGTTTTTCTTACTGCTCACAGAATCACAAAGGGAAACTCACTCTGCAGTCGACAGCCACATGTTTCCAAAACTCCCGCTTCACTCTCTGATCCCGTCGCTATCAGTTTCTGCAGTTAGGAGATCAGCTTTGGGAATGAGTCTATTGAGTGCCCACAGGTGCACAGACCAGTGCCAGTTCTTGCTGGTGGACACAACTGGCTTTCTGTTTCGTTCTGGCGCTTTCAGAAATATAATCTACATGTATCTTGCAGGAGTTGAAATATTCTATTGGTTGTTCTACCAAGAGGGGAACTAAATCCTAAATGCTCCCACTAAATTAGAATCATTAAAGATTCTCCATGGTTCCTGCCCTTAAGGAATTAAAAGTCTTATTAGATGTTACTGTGATTTTATTAATGCCTTGTTTTAAAGAAAATTAAGCACATAGGATGCCTTGTGCAAAATGCCCTTACTAAATAGACTTTATATTAGGCTCATTTGGAGACGGGGGATGGGAAGAGGGTTTTCAGTGACTCATGTACCATATTATTGCAGCAGATGTGTAGAAAAATCATGCCAGGATCTACTTAGATTGACTGATTTCTGCCCTTGTTGTAAATGGCCTATCTACTACTTTAGGGATGCAAAAATCTTTCTCGGGTTATTTTCAAAGCCTGATTTACAGTTGTTACTCCGGTAATTGGCAGAACACAACTGTGTTATTGGTAAAGACAAAAAAGCCCCATTCGTGGTGTGCTTAGTCTTCTCACTTAACTCTTTATGGATTGCCCACTCAGTTCACCCAAGAGTAAGGAAAGTAGACGGGGCACTGGACTAAAAAGAGAGAAAAGAGACAGCTCTTACAACTATCTCCATCGTGCCATTTTATTTCAGAGTGTAGGACTCCTGTGGTGCACTAGCGGATTGCCTACTGTGAAAATCACCTGGCTATAATAGAAAGACATAGTATTCAATGCTTTCCTGTTAGAGTCAGTATAATTTTCAGTAAAGGGAAATTGTGAATGCCCATCAATATTCCAGCATCTGAAAGTAGCAAAGCAATTTTGTGGTTTTTCTGATTTTTTGCAGTTAGAGCCCAAAAGCAGAATTGGTGCAGACATTTCACATTTGAGCATGATCCTGGTGCAGACTCACAGAGCCACCTTTTTTTTGGGTCTTACTTTTTAACTTCTTTTGTTAAAAGCAACAGATCTTTCAGCAGCATAATAATCTAAAAAGAGCTGAGTGCAACAAGGTGTTGGTGCGCCTTCCTACATATCTGGTGCAATAATATGGTACATGAGACACAGAACACCCTCTTCCCATCCCCTGTCTCCAAATGAGCCTAATATAAAGTCTATTTAGTAAGGACATTTTGCACAAGGCATCCTATGACGTGCACACATACAAAATTGACACCATCCCTATGTGAAAACAACAATATTTTCCTCAAGAACAGATTTTGGTACTGTGTATATTAGGATGGAGATTCGCATGCCTCAGCAGTGTCTTTGCCACAGACAGTGCAGATTCACCGGTAATCTTCTATCTTCAGCGTTATAGAATGCCATGGCATCACAGCTCACAGCAACCTCAAACTCTTGAGCTTAAGCGATTCTCTTGCCTCAGCCTCCCAAGTAGCTGGGACTACAGGCGCCCGCCACAATGCCCAATTATTTTTTTGTTGCAGTTGTCATTATTTAGCGGGCCCAGGCTGGGTTCGAACCTGCCAGCCTCGACCACTGTGCTACAGGTGCCATAACCACTGTGTTCCAGGTGCCGAGCCAGCATTAACTTCTCGACTGCCACATTTTCATTTCCACCTTTGAAGACTGACTAAACTAGAATGACCGGTGTGGAACTCAGGCTCACGGAATACATTTCCTTTGTTAAGAGACCATTTTGTAACAGTGACTCTTGAGAATATCTGAGCTGGTATTCTCTCAAGCTAAATCCCCATTTTTTTCCCCCTGCTGTCATGCTTTAAGAATTATTAGTCCGCATTATTAGAGTTGAAACTGTTCACAGTTTCCCTTTGTGTGTAGCTGATACCAGATTTCTCTGACCTGGCTATTGTCTTTCTCTAGTTATGTGTTCCTATCACGTTCAGGAGAGAATCTGATTTTCTCATGCTGTATAGATTTGCACACGTCTGATGCTCATTCCATGCTGAGTGTGTAAATAGCTGCTTATATTTTCTCCTGAGCATCACAGCAGCCAGTGCTCTCTTGGCTCCACAGTAAACATATTACCCAAACTGCTGTCTCCATGGTAAACAAACAGGAGACATAGAGGTGGTGCCTGGAGAATAGGGTGCTTGAGGGAATCAGGCATTATATTTAAGGGTAGCCCATTTTACGGCAGCAGTGAAAACAGGTGGTTCCCGTCATGTAGGCAGGAGGACGGGACGAATGCCAGGGCAAAATCAGGTAAGTGGATCGCAGCCACATTTTAAAATCAGAAATGGGAGTCACAATATAAACCTGGGAGCAAGAAGAACCCCAAAAGTGAAAACAGGAGACTGGGAAGAAAAATAGAAGGAGCTGAAACAATCAGTATTCTGTTTTGTTTTGTTTTGTTTTTTTCCCAATCTGGCATTTCATAAGGTCCAACTATAGCCTGCTGAGTTGAACTGAAATAAAGCAAAGCATAGCCCGTGTTTACCCAGGCCTTATCCGCAAATAGTTCAGATTTTAGAAGGATCAAGAGCCTAGTGTTTTTATACAACGGAGTGTATTTATAGAGTTTGGCCAACAGGGAGAATAAAATGCTTATCATTATTAGTTCATTTCCTTCAGAGTTTCTGTTTTTCTTTCATTTGAAACAAGGCCTGAGAGTGCAGTGCTTGTTGACTAGCCCTGGCCGCTGGCATTCCAAGCCACTGAGGTTCTCCTTGCCCGCTCAGGAGTCAGCTTTGCTGTGTAGTCTGCACATGTCACGGGTAAACGCCTGGGGACGGCAGCCCACCTTGTCCTCAGGCAGCATCTCGGTGGCTTCTTCTAGCTTGTAGCAGAGCTTGTGCGTTGATTACCTGTCACCTGTGCACCTGGGTGGCTCCGCCCTGCCCCCCCGCCCTCCCCCCGTGGCCCCCCCACCCCCGCTTTGTAGGCTGAGGAGAATGAGTTTAATCAGACCCTGTTGAATGGTAAGGGGGAAACAGAGATGTGGGCGTAGGTACCTGGATTTTTGCCGCCCTAGAGCTTGTCAGACGATGGGGACATGTGGAAACTAGAAACTCTGACAGAGACCCACTCTGTGGATGTGTGGGTAGAAATGAAGGTGAAAGGGGCCTGGCTTAATGCTGGCACTTTAGTGAGTAACTTGGTGGTCTTGCTAGGTTGAAAAACATCTCAATCCTGGTTCAGTTTTTTGTTTAAGCACAATAAATATTCGTCTTATAACCTGTTTTATTAACATTTTATCATGAACATTTTCCCTTGCTGGTTTTTTATTCTGTAACAGTATCTGTTCTACTATATCAATGAATATATTTCATGACATTGTAATTTTTGAAGCAGGTCAGGGGAAGCCAGTCAGGGAAATGGGGGCATAGCCAGATGCTGCAGAACTATATGAATGGTGACTATCATTTGAGACATAAATAAGAATAAAGCATATACATCATGACTCTGGGGACAGCAGTTGGTTAGAGTGGTCAAAGTGATCCTGAGAACTGAGTACCAGAAACCCAGATAACCTTGTAGAGTTCAGTCTTAGAAGTGGGTAGAAATAAGGCCATGTGATTAGCCCTGAGGAGGGGAACCATCCACTTGGTGATAGAGCTGGTGGTGGGTTGCTCCTGAGTGTCAGTTATCATGGTGAACATACTTGAGTTCTGGCTGTGTCATGAATGTAGACACAGGAGGCTTTGTTGACAGATCAGATATGAGATGTGTCAGAAAGAGAAGTCAAGGACTGACTCCAAGGTCTCTAACCTGGAGGGCTGTGTCTAAGGTCTCTAACCCAGAGCGCTGTGGAAGGATCAGTCTGAAGAGCAAATGTGTAGAAGGAAGTCAGAATTCTGTTGTGGATGTGTGAGGTTTGGGACAGCCAAGCGGACATGTCAGTTTATAGAGGGATATACAAGTCTGAGGTGAAAGAGCTGAAGGGGGGGGTCCAATTCAAGATCTGGGAGTTACTGGCACACAGGCAGTGTTTTAAGCCATGGGGCTAGATGAGAACAGCGTTGAGAAGGATGGAGTAAAAATGAGATGTTGGGCTGAGCCCTGGCACTACGGTGTTTCAGCTCCAGGAGGTGAAGAAGAATTAGCAGGGGGACTGTCATGGGAGGAAGGAAGGCCTGGAAGCCAGTTGAAGAAGGTATGAAGTGGGAAAGAGTGACCAGATGCTGTCGATGGTGGAGCGTGGACTGTTGGGTGTAGCACGAGGGAGACCAGGACAAGACAGGTCTCAGCTGAGTGGCTGAATCTGATGCCTTAGTAAGAAAGGATTCAGAACAGAATGGGAGATGAGGAATTGGATACATGGAAGTTAGATAACACTGTAAACATTTTTTTTTCTTGAACAAGAACACAAAGAAAGGGAAAGAGTATCTATCAGGGGGGCTGTTGAGGTGAAGAGAGTTTATTTAGCTAATCGGATGACAGTAGGGATTACTGCTTGTAAGGTGGCAGGGACAGTCCAGTAGGGAGAGGAAACTGCTGCAGGAGGGCGAAGGAAGCCCTTCTGGAACGATGTCCTTGAGAGGGTAAGAAGGGAATAGAATCTAGTCTATAAGGGGGGCCATAGCTGTAGGGATTGTTCATTTTTAGAAGTAGGAGGGAAGCCGGCTTTGGGGGCACAGGTGCAGCAGATTTGCTAGT